CTCTGATTTTACACTAAAATGATGGAAGGACTTCAGTTTTTACACCAGAAGATGAAATAACAAAATGAATTTGGGAATCCGATAGATTACTAAAATAAATAAAAATAGACCAGAACATCTTAAATGTAAACGCTGAAATTCTGCTTTTCTCCTCCAGAACCAGCTCTGGTTTCCACTAAATGATGGAAAGACCTCCGTTTCTCTTAAAAAGTTTAAATAGTCACACAAATTAATCTGTGAATCAGATAAATGACTAAAATAAATCAAAATAAATCAGAATATCTCAAATTTAAACTTAGAATTCCTGCTTTTCTCCTCCAGAACCAGCTCTGGTTTCCCCTGAATGAGCTCTTTCCAGCAGATGTTCCAGACAGAAGTTTTATTAGTAATTCCTCTTAAAATATAAGCTAATTTTACACTGAAATAGTGAAAATGTGTTAGATTTTCCATAAAAAACTGAAATAATCTGCATAAAGACAGACAGACAGAAGCAGAGACAGGAGTTAAGGAGCTGAAAAAGCTTCACTGAGCAGCAGAATATAATCTAAATATAGCAGAATATAATCTAAATACAGTATATATGTATATATATTTATATTTATATATGTATATATAATATAGTGTGGTCTGGACCTGCTTGCAGTGCTTGTGGTTGTCCATACAGGGCAGCGGGCGGTCCGGATATCCGTCCATGTCGGTGTCGGGTCCACAGGTGTTCCCGTTCCCCGCCCAGCCCACGTTACACTGGAAACAGCCGGCCAATCAGAGCACAGGAGGTCACAGACGGCCAATTAGAGCACAGGAGGACAGAAAGAACCAATCAGAGCACAGCCAGCCAATCAGAGCACATCAGGACACAGACCACAGCCAATCAGAGCACAGGAGGACACAGACGGCCAATTAGAGCATGGGAGGACAGAAAGAACCAATCAGAGCACAGGAAACTCAGAGAACCAATCAGAGCACAGGAGGACAGAGAGAACCAATCAGGACACAGGAGGACACAGTCGGCCAATCAGAGCACAGCCAGCCAATCAGAGAACAGGAGGACACAGAGAACCAATCAGAACACAGACGGCCAATCAGAGCACAGCAGGACACAGAGAACCAGTCAGAACACAGGAGGACACAGAGAACCAATCAGGACACAGGAGGACACAGAGAACCAATCAGGACACAGACGGCCAATCAGAGCACAGCAGGACACAAAGAACCAATCAGAGCACGGCAGGACACAGACTACAGCCAATCAGAACACAGAAGGACACAGACGGCCAATCAGAACACAGCCGGCCAATCAGAACACAGCAGGACACAGACGGCCAATCAGAGCACGGCAGGACACAGAAAACCAATCAGAGCACAGCCGGCCAATAAGAACACAGGAGGACAGAGAGAACCAATCAGAACACAGCAGGACACAGAGAACCAATCAGAACACAGACGGCCAATCAGAACACAGGAGGACACAGAGAACCAATCAGGACACAGGAGGACACAGACGGCCAATCAGAGCACAGCAGGACACAGAGAACCAGTCAGAACACAGCAGAACACAGAGAACCAATCAGAGCACAGCAGGACACAGAGAACCAATCAGAGCACAGCAGAACACAGAGAACCAATCAGAACACAGACAGCCAATCAGAGCACAGCAGGACACAGAGAACCAATCAGGACACAGGAGGACACAGAGAACCAATCAGGACACAGACGGCAAATCAGAACACAGCAGAACACAGCCGGCCAATCAGAGAACAGCAGGACACAGAGAACCAATCAGAGCACAGCAGGACACAGAGAACCAATCAGAGCACAGGAGGACACAGAGAACCAATCAGAGCACAGCAGGACACAGAGAACCAGTCAGAACACAGACGGCCAATCAGAACACAGCCGGCCAATCAGAGTACAGGAGGACACAGAGAACCAATCAGAACACAGCAGGACACAGACGGCCAATCAGAGCACGGCAGGACACAGAGAACCAATCAGAGCACAGCAAGACCATCAGACCAGGCCGGTGAGGCGTTTGAGGACACCCACCCTGCAGGACACCTCCCCGTTGCGCTCCATGAAGCAGTGGGCGTTGGAGTCGCAGGGGTCAAAGTTCAGCGCCGCGCACGACTTCCTGGGCAGGCAGCCCGCCGTCTGGTTGCCAAGGAAACCGGGTTTGCAGCCGCCGCATTTGTAGGAACCCTTAAAGAGACGGCGCGCGTTTTAAAAGCTGCACCGCAGCAGAGCGTCCACCAGGGGGAGCTCTAACCCCAAAAGAACCCGGTCTGGATCTGTTCACAGACCCAGTTTAGCCCGGAGCTAACTCTGTTAGCCTGGAGCTAAGTGTTAACTCATTGACTGGCAGCCATTTTCAGAACAGAGTCCCATACTGCCAGAGTTTTTTGAGCATTTTGACTGATTTTTCCAGAGCCACAGAATAGTTTGTGCTATGACTATGTAAACACCGAACACACCAAAAGAAAGAGTAGACTCTCTTCTTTCATCAGGAAAAAAAATGTGTTTCTACCTTATTCCGTTCTTCCTGGACTTGCGTCTCACCGGCGACATGTTCTCTCATAGAACCGTTCCCTTTTTCTTATTTGCCTACAGTCTATGCTCATCTCCCATCAAAAGTGGCACTGCCCCCTAGAGGGTCAGTTTGTTACTACATACTCTGTCTAGAAGCCCATATTTACGGACAAGCTTTAGCAGATCGTCCCCCAGACACTCTCGTTAAAAACATAAAAGACCTCTATAGACGTCTTTGGCAGCCAATGAGTTAACCTGGAGACAACTGTTAGCCTGGAACTAAGTGTTAACCAGGAGCTAACTCTGTTAGCGTGGAGCTAACTCCGTTAGAATGGAGCTAAGTGTTAGCCTGGAGCTTACTCTGTTGGCCTGCAGCTAAGTGTTAAGCTGGAGATAACTCTGTTAGCCTGGAGCTAAGTGTTAACCTGCAGCTAACTCTGTTAGCTCGGAGCTAACTCTGTTAGCCTGGAGCTAACTCTGTTAGCCTGGAACTAACTGTTAGCCTGGATCTAAGTGTTAGCCTGGAGTTAACTGTTAGCCTGGAGTTAACTCTTTCAGCCTGAAGCTAACTGTTAGCGTGGAGCTAACTCTGTTAGCCTGGAGCTAAGTGTTAGCCTGGAGCTAAGTGTTAACATCCATCCAGCAGCTGAACCCCCCCAGAGTTCCCCCAGTGGGTCAGAACCTGAAGGGAACCAGGAACATACATTTAAAAGCTCTAGAATTAGGTATTAAAAGGACAAAAAAAGGACAAAGGACCACAAAAAAGAGCTCAAAAGGCCCAAAACAGTGCTAAAAAGTGCTGAATTGAAATTTCTAATGATTTTCCTTCATCTGAACAACTAAAAACCTGATTTTTAAGTAATTGTCCTTCATCTGAACACCTAAAAAGCTGATTTTTCAATGACTTTCTATAATTTAAAGACCTAA